GCTGTATATAATGTTTCATTATTTATTCTAAAATTTTGTCAGTTTTGCTAGGGCCTTGAATATTAGTCTTTACAATGAACCAACTTTTTGTTCTGTTGAATTCTACTTCTTTGATTGCATTTTTACACAATTACTTTCTTCTTATATTTAGCAATTTCTTCTTTCTAGCCACTTCGGGTCTGTTGTTTTCCTGACTTACGTTTGATACTTAGCTTATTGTCAGCTTTTCCCATTTTCCTATATAAGCATTTAAAGCTATACATTTCCCTCTAATAATTCCACTTTAGCTGTATCCTACAAGTTTTTTGGTTTTTTTTTTTGGTACCTGGGATTGAACTTGGGTCCTTGAGCTTGCACAGCAGGTGGCAAAACCACTGAGCTAAATCCCCGGCCGTCCTACGAGTTTTAATAACATATTTTCGTTAACATTTGAGGCCTTGTAAATATCTCCTAATTTTCTGACTCTTTGACCTTTTTTTTGAGACAGGATCTCGCTGTGTAGTTCAGGCTAGTCTTAAACCCACTATGTAATCCAGGCGATCTTGCTAGGATTACAGGTGTGCACCACCACACATGGCTTTGATTCATTATTTAAAATATTTTAAGTTTCTAATCTTTAAAAATTATCTACTATTGACCATGGTTAGAAAATATTTTGCAGTTATAATTTTTTTTCTGATGTCAAATTTCTGACCAGTCTTATGGCTTAGTACATGATTACTTTTGTATATGTTCCCTTCATACTTAAGAAGAATGTGCTTATTCGAATATTGGGGCAATGTTTTGTACATGTCCAAAATATAAAGTCTGTTAACTGTATTCTTGAATTCTTTTTGAATTTTTATTTTTGACTGCTTTATCTAGCAATTACTCCAAGAATCACGTAATATCTTTCACTAGTTGTCATTTTTTTGCTTTATATATTTTGAAGCTATATTAGCATATACATTAAAAATTTGGTCTTCTTGGAAGCTTGAACCTTTTATCATGTACGTCTTAGGACACAATTTTTTGGCTAGTATTTATGATGCCTTTTAAAACAGGCTTTAGATCTTAAAGGACTGGCAGAAATTCCTAATGTAAGCACTGGCTTTGGTGCTACTTTACCCTTTGAATTGGTACTTTCCCTTTGTTTCTGGCCTCTGAGGATCATCATTCCTTCTTCCTCATTTAATCATATTCACATTTAAACATTATATATGCATATGTGTGTACATATATATTTCCTGATGTTTATGGAATACATAAATATTTGCCAGGTTTTGTATTATTTATGGTTTCTCTGGGCAGTTTATTCAAAACACGGTTGCGAATTTAAGTCCAGCTAGTTGATCTTTAAATTGCTACAACTACAAATCTTTTTACCATGATGGGAAGTTAAAAACTAAGATAGAGCATCACTGCCCCCTGGTGGAGAGACCTACTATTACCATGTCAAAATGAGTCCCACGGTGTCTGGTACTACTTTATTTCAGTTTCTTTTTGTTTTTGGTAAAATCCGTTGCTTTCGAACTGGTCCCTTCTTTTAGTTATTGTTCTTCCCATGTATTTTCCTTGTTTCTATCGTCAGACCTTATTTTACATTAATTTGATGAGTTGCGTATCAATTTCTCGCTTATGAACAAAAATTTTGGAACGAGAAGCCTGAATAGGGATAAGAACAAAGCAGAAGTCCAATAAATGTTGGCTAAGTTGAAAAAAAGTGCTTAGCACAATTTGCTAAATATGTCTGTGAGACAGCATATGTATACAAGCTCCTAAGCTTTTTTTCCCCTTTAATAACAGATGGATAAATGACATTTACAAGTGTAACTTCTCTGGGCTTACCCAGATTTTTTAAACTTAAAATTAAAAAATGCATACATATCCAATATAAAAAACTTCAGAGTTCTATAAATGAATAACTATACTGATGTTTGGAGAAAGGGTTTTCATTGTGGAACAAGATATAAATATGGAATGGAGAGAGGCAAGAAAAAACCCTGTGGGGTTGGACTAGAATTGGAGATATCAGTAAAACTTGTGGCTTTTAACATATAGGTGTTTACAGACCTGAATTTTTATATATACCTTGTGTTTTCTAATCCTGCTAAATTCAAGTAGAAGTTCTAGGGGCTCCTAGAGATTTCTTAGTATTTTCTCTGTGGATGATCATTTCAGCCACATATAAAGATTTTGCTTCTGCCGTGCCAATCCTATCCTAGTTGTGTCATTTTATTGCCAGACTATTTTGGTTCAGACCTATGTTTCAAAGTCTAATGGACAGATGAAGAGTAGGCATATATGCCCTTGTTCCCCACCTGAGGGAGAAAGCATTGTATCTTCTGCATTCATATAAGGCATTCTCACTGGAAGTATGGAGTACATGTCTTTAATCTGTTGAGAAGTTTCTGTTCTACTTCTAGTCTCCTGATAGCTTTTACCATGAACAGCTGTAGAATTTAATCCAATACTCTTTCTCCAACTAGTGACAGGATCATATGGCTTTTTCCTTTCCTCTGTTAAAATGATGACTTTTGGGGGTGGATCTTCCAATGCTGAACCAACACTGCCATCCCTATAACAAAACCACTTTCTACATCCTGCCAGATCTGACTAAGTTTGTTTTGTTAAACAAATTTCTATCTATGTTCATACTTTTTTCTTCTATTATCTTTATCCAGTTTTAGGATTAGCACAATGTTGATTTCCTAAAATGAGGGGAAAAGTGTTCCTTCTTTTTTCTGCTTTAAATGTTTGATATAATTTATCAGTTAAAATGTTTATGAGCCTGCTGTTGTCATATAGGTAGGTTTTCAAGCTAGGAATATACTTTCTTTAATAGGTGCTATTCAAATGTTCTATTTCCTCCAGAGTTAGTTTCATTAATTTGTCTTCTAAGTTACTTCTTAGAAGTTGTCAAATTTATTTCAAAAAAGATTTTTGTAATATGCTTTCTATATCCTTTTAAATTCTGTAAAATCTGTGGTAATGTCTCCTAGATCTTAATAGTGTAATTTAAAAAATGTATAACTGATATTGTGTAACAGGAAGAAAAGGTCTAAAAGAGCAGGGGAATTGGGAGGGGTAGGGGAAGGGAAAAAAGGGAAAGGAAAAAATATGAGAAGAGAAAAAAAATGGAAACAAGGTCTTTGCAAATAGGGACGGGTGGAGGGGGTGAAGGGAGGGCAGGGGAAGGGGAAAAAAAATAAAAACCAAGAGACTCATGTAATGGTACAAGATCCCAATGATGAATGTAACTGTATTGTATACCTAAAATGTACCAATAAAGTTAATGGGGGGAAAAAAAAAGTACAGTGTAAAAAAAAACAAAACAAAAAAACCCCCCATATAGGTGTTTCTTAGCGCTTTCTATCCAAGGGGCCTAAAAGCAATGACAATCGAGGATGGCCAGATATTAAGTGACTAACCATTACTCTCCATTATAGGAAATACAGGATATTCTAAGAATAAAGATATGTGTTGAGAGCATTTCTGCATAAATTTTGGGGAAAAATCATTTCATAATTAAAGTACGACTATAGCTGTCTAAGGCCCAATGTTGCCTTGCCTGAGAGCCAGCTATGGCATGCGGAAACAGAACTCCGTTTAGCCACTGGTCACAGCTGAGGCCTCAATGGTCTGAGATGTTGTGGCGCTCAAGGGCAAGATTACACCAGCTGAAGGCATCATGGTTCCTTGAGAACCCAGTGGTAATACAAAAGAGAAAGGTTTCACCTGGGGAGGGACAGATCAGCCCAACTCATCCCACCTACTGTCCTGGGAATGCTCTCCTTTCCGCCCTCATCAGCATGAGATTTGGATCGACATAGGATCACCTCTGCCCCATAAGTCACCAGATACTCCCTCCAATTACTGTGTGTACCCAATAAATGCTGGCTAGTACGGACAGTCTCGGTCTGTGCCTGCTCTGAGGCAGTGACCTCCTGGCCCCCGTATACTGTGAAATGACACAAGTCTCTATTGTCTTTTTCCTTCAGCCCTCACAGTCCCCCTTTCTAGGCAGTTGGAGGATATTGGGCTCTGGTGGATATGTAGAGAAATAAATAATTCCAGAGCTGTGGTAGGAGGAAAAAACACCGCAAATTAAGATAGATGTGGAATATCCTGTGCTGGAAAATAAGAAATTTCTCTAAGAATAAGGACATGTCAAAAAGACCCAGGAGCCACTTGAAGGTCTCCCGATGGTCAAATCTAGAACAATTTGACATCGAAAAAACTGCAGTAACAGACTGAATAATATAGCAATCTGTGAATTTATACTAATAAAAATGAGTGAGAAAGGTTTTCCTTACAGTAGAATAAATGCAGAAGAAAAGATAAAATTGGAAAATCAGCATTTGGCAAACACAAGTAACAATTAATTAATTAATCCAGCCAAGAAATATCACTATGTTAAAATTGGTGTATAAAAGTTTGTTGAGAAACAGAATACTTACAGTCTCAAAATATCTTCCCACAAGATGCTTATTAATATAACGGAAAAAAACTAGAAATTTACAGTAGAGAGATCTAGAAGATGCCACAAAATTGACATCCTTGTAACAAAATACCATGATATAATTAATGTACTGAAAAGGACAGTATCATTTCCGTGATATTCCTGCCAAAAATGCATGATCTTTATCTAATTATGAAGAAACATCAGAAAAACCCAGATTAAGGGATATTTGATTAAATGTCTGGCCTATGTGCTTTATGGCCATGGCTTTTTTGAAAGACTGGCTGAGAACTGTTCCAGAATAGAGGAAACCAGGGACACAACAACTAAATGTTATATTATTATCCCAGACAGGATCGAAGACCAGATTTGTTTTCCTACAAAAGACTGAGACAATCAAATAGGGAAGAAATTAGGTAACAGCACTGTAACTAATTTTAATATTATGATTTTGATAATTGTACTATGGGTATATGGGAAAATATCCCTATTCTCAGGAAATACAAACTTAAAAGTATTTGGTATAAAAAGAAACATCACATCTGTAATGAACAAAGAATTTAGGAAAAAAAGCATTTATTCTAAACTGGTGATAGAGGGAAAATTCTTTCTTACAGCATAACTAGTAAATTCAGAAAGAATACTGGAGTTAGAAAAATCACAATTTGGTAAACATTCTGGGGAAATTATTCAGATAAGAATGATCAAAGGATGTTAATTCTAGGAAGGGCAGGTGTGATGAGGAATAGATTTATCAACATGGTCTCAAAAATTACACACTACTTGCAAAAGGAAAAACAGTAAGCATACAAGTGTGAACACAGGACATCATCTTACCCAAGTGATCAAAAGTAACATCACAAATAAAGGGCAAAGGGACGTTCTGGACATTTGGATGTGAAACTCGGGACATGCCACTTACAGTATAGTATTCTCACCCATCCTGCACAACCTAAATCTAACCAGAGGAAACATCACTAAAGACCCAAGGGAAGGATATTCTCCTTTGTTACTATCTCACACTGTTCAAATACATCAGTATTACAAAAGACAGAGAAAGGGTGAGGAACTGTTCCAGATGAAATAGTCATGACAGCACAATATGATTCTGGACTGGATCCTATCGCTGAAGTTACCAATGGGACAAATGAAACTAGAACATAGACTGTAGATTAAAATATTGTGTCAATGTTAAAGTTCTGAATTTGATAACGATACTTAGGTAAAATAGTATTCTTGCTCTTAAGAAGTACATACACAGTATTAAAGAGCAAAGAATATGATGTCTGCTACATATTCTCAAGTGGGCCAAGAAAATATATTATCAAAGGAGAAACAATGATAGCAAATATACAAAACATTTAAAAAGAAATCAAAGTGCAAAACAATGCATACATTATTCTTCTACTTAAAATTCTCAAAACATAGGTATGTAAGTACATAGATATGTATATTCCTAAAATTCTTTAAATCTTTACATTCTCAAGATAGGAGAACTAAGTGTTCAAAGATATTAGGAGTTTGGTATAGGATGGAAAGGGTTAAGTTTCTCCCAGAGAAAACAGTATGAGCTTCTAGTATTCAACATATGTATACACAAACTTCTACACACACATATAATTCTATCATTTTAGTGATTAAATACTTGAATGAATGGATATATAAAACTCACATGTATTCTACTGTTATTTGTTTCCAGTATTTTAATATAATCTGAGATTTCAAGAAATAGGTTCTATCATTTTTACATTTACTTTAGTAAAAGTTACATTTGGTCTTAATTCTGACATCTTACTTCGTTATAGTTTCTGGTTTTGTATCTGCTTTTCAAAAAGTATTTTATATTCATTTTCTGTTTGGGGATTTTCCTTCTCATCCTAGTAGCTACTTTACTCAATTTCGGATAGTCATATTATTCTTTAGATAATATGAAGACTACTAACACTTATATTCTGTTCTGAGGTATAATACTAACAAAAATTCCCAGAGAAGAACCCACTCAGGGAAGGAAGCTACTTAAGGTGTAGACACAAAAGGTGAGTTGTGCAAATCCAGGTCCTAGCTGATCCTTGAAAAATGTACTTTTCTCAAAGTCAACCAATCCAATTTTTATTGGATATGGGACGCCCTATGAACAGGTCCTATTTTGAGTTCCTTGTGTTATGATTTTAATTAAAAACCCCAAATTAGTGAAAGCAGGAGAGGATACTTTTGTCTTCAAAGATACTATTTATTATACTTTGCATTATCCTTGCAATCTCTCCAGATGTGCATAAATAACAGTATATCCTAAAAACACTAGAAAAACCTTGTCGATAAACTGAACCATTAAAACTTTACTTTTCAGAGTAATTTTACAATAAAACAAAAACCAAAAAAAAAAGAAAAAAAATTTTACAATAAAAATGTAAAGTCTATAACAGGTGTTATTACATTGTCTACAGTAGTCTACACATTTTATAGTATCACATATTTATACATATGGCAATTGGAAATAAGAGAATACCTTTCTGGTTTTCTACTGTAGGCTACAAGTTTTAGAAGTCCTGAACCTATGAAGGCAGTATAAGAAAAATCTTCATTTGAAACTTCAGAGTAGTCTCTTTACAGTCTACATTATATTACAAAAAAAAGGTTTGTTATATTTATATTTGCTTTGTTCTATTTATTTCTTTGAAGGCTGGGGAAGAAGTGACAAAAAAGTTTGTTTTGTACTTCAAAGAGCTTTTCCAAAGACTGGAGATTCGTTTTCATTATGCATGAACATAGATGAACACTGTTCTCATGGCTTTTATGATAACCTAAATTCAAGGTCATATATATGTGTTTTCTGAAATCCAGTGTATTTACCTAGACGCATGTTATTTACGTACGAAGGAAAGGAACTAGCACTTTGGCTTCAAAAACAAATTTAAAATAAATCACAAATTCCACTTGTCTTTGATTTGGATCTGGACTAATTGCTAAGGGACCATTCAGCTATTGTGGCCTCAATCATTATACCTTAGGAAACTGCAATTAATTAAGGGCCTGCTGATTCAAAGAACTATGCCTATAATAAGGGAATGAGGGTAGAATTCTAAGTCCATATGCCAAGTTCAAAACAAAATATCAACAATCTCCTCATTCTTTCACTATCTATAAATAAAGTAAATGAAGAGGATAAGGATTATATGAATGTTAAAAAGTGCATTGAAAACTCAGAGATTTTTTTCATTAAATTTGTCACTTATTCTATTTCAATAAAATGCTTATAAGGAAAATAACCACTTAAAGCAAAAGGCTAGTTACATTATTCAGAATTTCTTGAGAGCATAAGAAAGAATGAGGAACACCTGTAATCCCAGCACTTGGGATGCTGGGGCAGAAGGAGTGCCACAAGTTCAAGGCCAGCCTGAACTGCATAGCAAGATCCTGTCTCATAAAAAGAAAAGAATGAGGATCAACTACCCTGCTTTAACTTTAATCACCTGTCTTGAAACAGATTACTACATTATGCCTTGAAAACTCAAAGCAGAAAGTAAAATTATACAAAGCCAGAAATTCCATCAAGACATTTAGACAGATGTTTGCTTGTAGTTTTTGGTATCCAAAACCTTTTTTCCACACATCGCACAGATGCCTGAAACAAGAGAACATGTGAACAATCAATACCTGATATGAACTGTTTGGGTTATCTATGTCAACCCCAAAGCTTAAAGTATTATTGAACAGTATCAAAAATGAGAAAAAGAAAAATACACTTTAATGATGAACATGTTTTAAGTTCTATTTTGAAAAAAAGAGTATTTCACAGTACTAATAAAGGCTATTACTTTTCTGTTATTCAAATCAGCAGCAAATAAATTAGGCTGGATAATAACAAAAATGATATTAAAAGAAACTTACCTTTTTTGTAGGCACAGCCTTGGCAGTAATGAGAACCTGGCTGGTGCACAGAACTTTTACAAATTCTGCAAGTGGAGAACTTATTCTTTCCATAGGGATCGAATCTAGAAATTTTTTTTAAAGAAAGAAGAATGTATATTACAATGGATATGCTCTGATCTCCACTCAAACAACACCCAGGCCTAAGCCACGCTCACCATTCCCTCTTTCAAATTCTGCAACTGACAGTAGCCCTCTCCGCTTCTTCCACGTGGGCTCTATACTTACACAATGTCAGCTGTATTTATTCCCAAACCTGTTCCTGTCACTTGCATTTGTTACTCTTATTTGTGTGATATAATATTAGGAAAACTGATGAAATATGAGTGCAAGGGAGTGGTTGATTCCATAGAAAGTAACTGACTGTTTCAGGATGACTAGGTAAGCATGAACCATTAACAATATCTTTGAATTAGGTGTGATAAAGAAAAGTGTTGAAAACAAGGAGAAAAACTAAGTGGAAGGTCTCCACACTTTGCAAGTGTCAGTTTTTGCTCCACTCTAAAGATAACAAAAATATATAGTCTGGTTATAAATTACATGCCGAAAATGACATAGAACTCTCATCAGTAGACCCCTACTCAAAAGATCTCGTTTCTCACTACCACATGATGGATGGATGCATGTACAGTTAGGTACTTTAGATTAAAATAAGATGTGTGCACCTTTTAATGGCACAATCCCTTTAGCTAAAGGGGTTTCTAAAACATAAAAATGCCATCGCATAATGACTGGAATGAAAAATAACTTTAGGGGGACTATTTTTCCCTAACTTGGCAATAACAGTCTGATTTAAAACTGTTTCCCTAACCATGAAATGAGTTTTGTAATACTCTCACAGAGTCCTAGGCCTGGTGTCTTCTCTTGGGGTACATGAAACAGCTCACTTTCAAAGATTAACTTGACCAAACCCAAAGAATATCACTTTACTCTCTGCAGTGGGAGACAGACACTATTCTTTTCAAAAAGCTCAATTTATCTGGGCTTGTATGTCTGGAGATTCCTTTTTCTTAAAACCATATCTCATCATTCTAAGATGTAAAATTTAATCTCTAAAATCACTTCACTGGCAAAGCTTTTTTTTTTCTTAAAGTAATGATGCAGCTCATAAATAATGTATTATAGATTCAATGTAATATAGAGGTATACTATCCAACGTGAGATATTTAGAATACCCCCAAAGTAATAGCTACTGTTTAATATCATAGTAAGTTTGGGAGCATAAAGGAATTGCAAGTACATAAAAGTGTACAATCTGTTTAAAAGTAGTAACAGTCAATAAAAATTGAATGGTGGGCCGGAGATTTAGCTCAGTGGTTCCAGCGCCTGCCTCGCAAGCACAAGGTCCTGAGTTCCATCCCTGGTACCACACACATACAAAAAAATTGAATGGTGTTAGAAGACATCAATAAGTCAGTCAACATATAGTGTGATGCTGTACTGAAGACTGAGTCTACTGTCCTGTTTTATATCCATTATTTAGTAAGCACCTACTGTGTGCCAGGCACTGTATATAGTGAAAGCTTTATTAATGTTATTATTTATAATCCTTGGGATGATGTCACAAACAGGTATTTATTCATTTAGCAAATATCTGAGTACCTACTCTGCCAGTTACTGTTCTGAATATTAAAGATGAATATACCAGGTGAAGTCCTTACCCTTATCAAACTGACAGGCTAGTAGGAAGAGACAGACAATTAATACGGAAGTAGACAATCTAAAACAAAAGCAAGTTTTTTCAGATAGCAATAAGTGCTATACAGAAAATTCAAACAGAACATGGAGATAATGAGAAAAGATGAGCTCAAATGTTGGTTAGGGACTCTTCTTTGAGGAGGTGACGTTGAGGGAATAGCCTAGGAGGGGCCAGTCAGCACCAACCTCTTTAGACTGGAGTGGTGCATAATGAGGACGGTGCACAATGATGACGAGGAATGCGGTACAATAGTCCAGACAGGGGAGAAGCCACTTCATGAAAGACCTCGTCAGAACATATAAGGGGGCTCAGATTCTATTCTATGGGAAAAAGAAAACCACTGGAGGCTTTTTGTTTTATTTATGATTTTTTTTGGTGCTTGGGATTGAATCGAGAGCCTCATGTATTCTAGGCAAGAGCTTTACCAGAGAGATACATTTCCAGCCCCCTGGATGGTTTGAAGAAACTACATGACCTTTCTAAAATACCACTGTGGTTGCTATGAGACAACTGTAGGAGGTTGGGGATTTAGCTCAGTGGTTTCACTGCCTGCTGCGCAAGCACAAGGACTCGAGTTCGGTCCCTGGTACCAAAAAAAAAAAAAAAAAGAAAAGGGACAACTGTAGGAAAGAGAAAAAGTAGGGAAATGGCTAGAAATTATTTCTGTATACAAGAAATAAATGGTTTGCACCAGGGTAATAACAATGAAATGGACAGAAGCGGGTGAATTTGTTATACTTTAGAATCAGAACCAAAGAAGCTGTTGATGAATATGGGAAGTGGGGAAAGAAAAGAATTAGCAGCTTCCAGCCTTGATCAACTGGATTGGATGGTGGTGCCACTTACTATAATAAGAAGGCTGAAGGAAAAAAGATGCTGCTTTTAGATATCAAATATGTTAAGTCAGGTAAGCAGTTAAGCATGTTTGGAGCTCAGAGGAGTCAGATCAGTGTTACAGATTTGGGGGTTGTTAACAAGTAGTTTCAATTTAAAGCCAATGGACTAAAGATACTCTAGGAGGGTTTGTAAATAGAAAAAAAAAATCTTAAGATTGAGTCTTGAGGCACTGGATTGATAAGAAGTGGCTAGAGTTGGGAGGAAACCAGGACAGTGGGATGCCAATAGAAGAGAACAAAGAGTTGCCAAAAGGACTTATTAAGAGGTGAAGTTAGGTAAGAACGAAAATGCGGCCATCAGTTTTAAAGGTCATTTGTGATCCTAAAAAGAGCATTTGCTGGCCTGTTAAGTATGACTTGAGTGGTTGAAGGAGAGAATGGAACTTAAGGACATTGAAAAGTGTCTAGTTGAGGTTTTAGACAACTTCTGATGTGAAAAGAGGCAAGGAAACTGGTGGCAACTAGAAGGGTTCATGGAATTCTTAAGACTGGGTAGCATGGTGTCAAAAAGCTGTTTTTAAGATAGGAGATATTTTTATTGGCCATTCTCAGATGAAAAAGCAAAGCTCAAAAAGGTTAAGAAACTGGTTTACACATGTGTGTCCTATTTATTTCACTTAAGAGTATGGCCTCAAGGTGCATCCATTTAGCTATAAATGTCTCTCATTTATCATTCTTTATGGCTGAGTAGTACTCTATTTTGTAAAAAAAAAATACCACATTTTCTTTATCCAGTCACCAGTTGATGGGCATATGGGCTGTTTCCAAGATTTAGCTATTACAAACTGTGCCGCTATAAACATAGCTGCACATATATTGCTGTGGTATCGAACAGTTTCTCTGGTGTGAGAAACTGAAAGTGTAAATGAGGACCAAAATATATAATGGATAATGTAAAACAGGAAGAAAAGGTTCAAAGGTAAAGGGGAACTAGGCAAGAGGATGGGGAAAGGAAAGAAAGAAACGAAAAAAATGAGAAAATAAGGAAAAAAATGGAAAAAAGCTTTTGTAAATAGGGAGGAGTGGAGGGGTGGAAGGGAGGGAAGAGGAACGGGGAAAGAAAACAAGAGCCAAGATATATCATGTACAGGTACAAATTCCCAATGATGAATAAGATCATAATGTATACCTAAAATGTACCAATAAGCTTAATGAATAATAAAAAAGACAATAAAGAGGTAGTACAACAACAAAAGAAACTGGTTTAATTTGCTTAAGGTCACTGGGCTTGACAGTGACAGAATCTAGATTCCAAGTTAGGTCTGACTTTAAAGCTTACACATGGTCTTTTTGCATATCCCTGTTGACTCTGATTTGTAGATTAAGAAAGAGGTAGGGCCGGGGATTTAGCTCAGTGGTTCCACCGTCTGCCTTGAAAGCACAAAGACCTGAGTTCAATCCCCAGTACCAAAAAAAAAAAAAAGAAAAGAAAAGGAAAGAAAAGAAACAGGTACAATCAAAGTCATGCTTTCTGGTTAAAAAAAAAACAACCATAAAAATTTAGTGTTAATATCTTCATATGTTGATACAGCGAAGAACAGAGTGAGCCAACAGGTTATAACAGATAACTTGCCTCTGTGTGCTAGGAACTACCTAATTCTATGTTTTATCACAATGGAATGATACACAACAAATTCTCTCCAGCAGCCTTAAATATTTAATAGGACTAGAAATTTACTACTGTTCTACTCATGCTCATACTCACCTTGCTTTTTTTGAAGTCAAGGCTTTATTTTCATTCAGTTTTCTTCCACCACTTTCTATATCAAAATATACATATATTTTAGTGAGTTACTTCTATGCATTTAACATATAACATCCACTATTTAGCAATTAGTTAAAAAGTTCATTCTCTGACTGCCTACCAATAGATTACCCCATATCTAAATTTTTTAAATCTTCATTTAATAGCAAAGTTCTTAAGGTACTACTTAAAATAATTATTTATTAGGGAAATGAGAATATTTATAAAATGAAATCATTTTATTTCTCAAATTCAAATGAATACTTTAGGAATTGGTCTGTATTTTCTCTACAGTAAAATCTAGAAGCTTTTACTTTGGTGTCATAGACTGATTATAAGAAAGAGTTTCTCCTCCTTCTCTTTGAAAACACACTACACTCTACGTATTTAATATTAATGAAGGTGAAGACAGTTTAGATTTGTTTAAGAACATAAAAATCAGGTGAGGAAGGGACATTAAATAGATTAATAAGCGCTAAGTCAAATATTAAGATTCAGTCATCACTTGAAAATCATTTATTAATTTTGTTATCTCCTGCCTATTATATTAGGGACCCACGCATATAATTGAGAGAACTAAGCAGAAAATATTAAATCATTGGGGGGGTCCAGTATTTTTACTGTTTAATATATAAAATACCTAACAATGCATTATACAAACAATGTAAAAGCTAAAACAGTATTTAGACTGTCTATTTCAATTTCTATTTACTAAAAAATACCTGTGGTATTCCTTGCACCATCTTTCCATGTGTCTGGTGTAATAACAGTACCAAGTTTCTTTTCACCTGTTATAACAAGACAGCAAAAAGGGAAGTACCATTTACTAATAAATACACTTTTTTTTTTTTTTCTGGTACCAGGGATCAAACTCAGGACCTTGCGCTTGCAAGGCAGGCACTGGAACCACTGAGCTAAATCCCCAGCCCATAAATACACTATTTTACACTTGAGGTTCACAATGGTGTATCAGCAGTCATATTGCAGTAGGAGCTTGTTAATGCTGAGGTAGGGGTCAGTGAACTGAGACTCAAGATACTAAGTGTGGGACAATGGATAAATGACCCTCAGTAAAATTTGTAGAATAAGATGGTTTACAATAGGTTTTCACTGTCAATACTTTAAAAAAATCTGATAAATCTGTTCATTCCATAAACATTTACTAAGCATCTATGATAATATAAACCACTATACAAAGTCTTGAGAAAAATAAAACCATGAATCAGAAAAAGACTTTAGGGAGATTACACATAAGTTCATTAATTTCTCTAACAGCAGTCCATAACTTGGGTTCCATAGGTGGACCTTAGGAGATATGTGGAGAAGGTGGAGTTGTACATGAAATTGTGTGTGTGTGTGTGTGTGTGTGTGTGTATGCAGATGCATATGCACGCGCTTTTGGAAGGTAATTGGTATGGATGTGTCAAAGCCAAGTACTTCCCAAGACAGTTAAATGGATTCAGAGGGATAAAGTAAGAGCAAAAGAAAATCCTTGAATTTAGTGATTGGGAGATTGCTGGTGAACTTCTGGAAGTTCTCACTGTAGTGCAGAAAGTCAGTCTGTAAAGTGCTAAGAAGTAATTGTGAAAAATCTGGAAGCAACAAACATGACCAAGTCTTTAAAACAATTTATGATGCAGGGAAAGAAAGAACTAAGGTAGTAGCCTGGGACTGCAGCTTTATGCCTGAGAGACATCTCAGCTTATTTATAGGATGAGTGTAATGAGATGACAGATTGGAGATTAAAAATAATGAAAGGTTAGATTTTTCAGAAGAGCAGAGAAGTAAAAAGTAGAAGAGAGAAGGACCACTAATGACACACATTATGTTCCAGAACCAAATATATGTATTTTAATATCATACTGGATCTTGGATATTCAAAGTTTTCATGTACCTTGGTAAATTAATTCTCAGAATTTTCCCTGTACCCTCAATTTCCCTTGGGACAAAGTACTCATAGTGTAAAAAGAATTTAAAACATCAAATGAAACAAGGCAGAATTCCAGCCTTCTAAAGTTAAAATGCACAGAATTATATATAAAAAAAGACCCCTACAAATTAACACATGTAACATATGTCAGAACTGTATAACCTAAAAGACACCAGGGCAGATGTATAATCTAAAGACATTTATA